AAAGCACCACTCTTAAAAGACTTATAAATGTTATAGGATTAAAAGTACAACAGTAAAAAGGCAAGACATAGATGGGGAGGTTATCTACAACGTTCATAAATGACAAAAGGATCTTATCTGGAACATATAAAATAACCTCTACAGATCAATAAGAAACATACAACACAGAAAGATAGACAAGATGTGAACAGGTACCTCATTAAAAAGAAAAAAAACAAATGAACTATGAACATGAAAAAAATAAACTAAACCTCATTAGCACTCAGGTAACCAATGAAATATGTTCAATCCCATTACCACTCAGGCAAATGAAAATTTGAGCCACATAAAGACACCATTATGCACTCACCAGAAAGGTTATAATTAAGCAAACTAAAATACCATAAGATTGTGTAGATATGGGAACTCACACACTGTTAGTAGGAATATAAACTGGTACAATTGCTTGGGGAAACAGATTGGCATTATTAATGAAGTTAATGATTTACATGCACTGTGACCCAGCGATTCTACTCTGATTTACATGCACTGTGACCCAGCGATACTGTCTGGTAATGAAAATGAATGAACTACAACTGCATATACCACATACATGAATGTCATAGATGTACTACTGAACAAAAGAATCCAGATACAAAAGGGTACAAACTGCATGATTTTGTTTATATATAATAAGAGAACAGGCAAGACCAATCCATAACGTTAGAAGTCAGAGTGATTACCTTTGGGAGTGGGTGGTATTAATTGGGAGAGGGTGTGAGTGGGGATTCAGAGGTCCTGATTATGTTCTAATCTTGAGCTATGGGGCAGTTACCCAGTGTATTCACTTTGTGATAATTCATCAAGCTGTAGACTTAACTACTTCATATATGTCATAATTAAATATATTTTATATGTTTTTACTTAACTATTTTCAACAAAAGTGCAGGGGCCATTCAATGGAAAATGGGAGTTCTCATTCCAACAAGTGATGTTGGAACAATCGGCTATCCATATGCAAAAAAAGAACTTCAGTCCATACCTCCAACACATATAAAAAAGAACTCAAAATAGGTCACAGACCTAAATGTAAAATATAAGCCTATAAAATTTATAGAAGAAAATATATGAGAAAATCTTTTTAACCTTAGGTTAACCAAATAATTTCTTAGATGTGACACCAAAATTCAAAAGACACTGTTAAGAGAATAAAAAGCCAAACAATGGGAGAAAATATTTACAAATCGCATATCTAGCAAAGAAGTTGTATTGAGAATACATAAAGAACCCTCAAAGCTAAAAAAGAAAAAAGACAAAAAAGAGATACTTCATCAAAGAAGATATACAAATGACAAGCACACATGAAGATGCTTAACATCATCAGTCACAAGGAAACTGCAAATTGTAACCACAATGAAATGCCACTACACACCTATTAGAATGGGAAAAAAATAGCACCTGAAAATACCAAGTG